CTACAAATATATTTCATTGTTTTTTTCAAAAATTGTATTCAGTAACTTGACCATCTCGTAGATAAAAAAACAACTCGTTTTACCTTCAGAAAAAAGCAGCGAGAACTAAGACCGGTCAAGTGTCGACAGATATCAAAATATTAACAGCAAACACTGAATAAAACCTGATTAACCAGTAAAATGTTCAAATTACATCGGCCAAAAATTTGCAAAATCAATGATCAGTTCTTGAAAACTCTTTATATTTCTTCAAATCACTGAAATTTTTTATATTCAACGGAGGTAATACCTCACGAATCACACCACGTCCAACAGTTCTCCTCCCGCTATCTCGGACGGCAAAAGCCAAAGAAGGTCTAAGCGGGATTTCCTTTTCAAAAATTAAGTGAGATACGCAATGTTCCCCCGGCATTAACATTTCTTGGTCAAAGACAAACCGTCCTGCCTGAAAATTGGTGATAGATTAAATCTAACCGTATAAAATATGATGTGCCTTTCACATTCAGCAATTGAGCAGCAACTTCTGTCCGTTTTGCAAAATTAGGCCAAAACAGCCTGACAAACAGTAAAAAAAAAAAGCTGGTCAAAAACGTGCTTTTCACATCGCTGTATGCATTGAGAAGTGACAAATAAGGAAGTTTGTTCTCCAAATCATCCAGAAAAAACTAGAACGTAGGTGTAATGAAGACACACCAGCAGTGAATAAAATAATTGGCTAAATTTAAATCTTTGAGACGATAAAATAGCTTGACAAAGGAACAAACTTTATCCCATGTGGTACAGTACACTTTATCTGAGTACCCAGATCTGATGCCGATTCTCCTTCCATTTTCTTCTTCAGTTAACAAATAAAGTTCAACCTATGAATAAAGTTCAGTCAAACATTTCAGAAAAGAAAAAAATACTGCTATATCAACGCAGTGAATGCATAGAACGCCATAACTAAAGACGATATCTTAAAACCACTAACTTTACAAATGTTCGATCTCTGTATAGTACCAGGTGCGCCTAACCAAAAACCGCGGCCAACATCCTCCACCTTTATACCTTTGCATAGTATACCGCAATGCTCACCAGCTTTCACCTGATATTCTAGACTTTATATAATTGAATAACAAAATAAAAAGAAATCTTGACTTCTTGAATCAGTGACATGATTAGAAAGTATTAGAACTGCTACTGCAACTTACTTCTTTAACTGTCTTTCCAAACACCTGGATTTCAGACGCTACTGCTTGCTGAAGCTTGTTGCTAACAATTTCTAACTTCTCACCCTTCCGCAATGTCCCCTCTTCAACCGTACCAATGATTACGGTCCCACGACCAATTACTGCTATACTAGAAGTCACCGGCATAAAAAATGGCATTTCCTAAACAAACAAAATTTTCTCTGACAATATCTACACAATACAACCGAGAAAACGATGATGTATTTCTGAGAAAAAAAAAGAACGTACATCTTTCCGTTGTGGAAGAGGAATTTCATCAAGCGCCTGCAATAAATCCTCAATACATTTCGAATCTCCATTCTCAAGAGCTGCTAGTGCCGATCCTTTAACAACTTTGACAGAATCTCCTAAAATACTCATCATTAAAAATAATAAATTTTTAGGAAGAATATGACTGCAACTATTTAAGTTTTATAAGTAGTACAGAAAAGCAGGTTAGACGTGAAAACAACATGAACCAGATCACCTTCAAAATTTTCAAAATTTCAAAGTGATTTATGGCTTATTTGACTTGAATTAAATAAGATTAACTCTTTAATAAAGAAAATTTTAATTTTGAAAAAAACCTTCAAAGCCGTACTGTTCCAATAATTCTAACGCTTCCATTTCTACAAGGCTGACTATATCTGGATCAGCCAAGTCGGTTTTGTTAATGAAAACAACTATATGACGGACTCCAACCTGCTTGGCCAGTACAAGATGTTCCTTCGTTTGAGCCATAACACCTTCAGTGGCAGCAATAACTGTAAAAAAAAAATAATCCTAACTAAACTTTCAGCGTTCGGCCTGTGAATGTGTATCATTTTTTATAATATAAATAATTTACTAAAACCTAAAATAGCTGCATCCATTTGAGAGGCGCCACAGATAGTGTTCTTAATAAAATCGCTGTGACCAGGACAATCTGTATGAGCGTAACGCCTTTTCTCACTTTCATAAGAAATGTGAGCAATATTAATAGTAATACCACGACGTTTCTCCTCCTTTGCTTTATCAATATCATCAAATTTCATAAACTTCGTATTGCCTAAATAAACATAACTTCTGTTACACTTCAAAAACCATTATAAATAATATTAGAGAGCAATGAGAGAAAAAGCCAAAACAAAAGTTTATTGGGAATATTAATTGAATCAACTGAAGTTTTAAAAGAATATATATTACATGAAATATCAGATTATATACTACTGGTTGTCCTTTCTTGCCCTATCATTCCTATCCCTCATCCTAATTTTACCAACGAACAATAACCCTCCTGCAGGCTTAATGCTAATCGACACGCCATTGTCCTTCGTAGTTCCAATGTCGGTCGCTTTGCTTCAAATCAGGCTCGATTAATAAAATGACAATTTTGCTTTAAAATGCAACAAAAGAAAAAACAATTTGAACTGCTGGGGAAATAAGTTACTAATAAAATCATTAACAAATAAGATGCAACAACACTTATTAATTTTTTCAGAGAATTATATAAACGCAAAACAACGACTGCGAGCCATCTGGTAATGGAGGAATGAAGAAGCTGGACAAAGAAGTCCCAGTTCAGGCATGTGAATAATAAAATACCAATTCCAAAAAAGTCAGTGCTTCTCCAATATCCCCAAAATGAACTATTTCTTTATCTGGCTATTGATGGAGAATTAGTTAGTTACTGTTAGCCTTAGAAGCTCATCCAACAGTAAAACTGCCGTTAGAAGCTAAAGCATTTGCCAAGACCTCCTCCTCACAGAATAAACCTTGCCTGTCTTCTTTCACTGCGTCGATTAATCTTCCCTATTTCTAGTCAGTGACAGTAAAGTTTCACCTCCAAGTTTTCGGAGTAACAAGAGATAAACTGATAGAAAATAAAGGCAACACCTTGAACATGCAGAACTTACTTTTTTTTTTTTCTGCAAAATAACGTCAGTCTACATGCTGAAATTATTACTCCATAAAAACCTATCACACAAAGCCCAACCTTTTGCCTTACTGCATTCTAATAAACTATAACTGGTAAAAAAACCTATAATTTTTCTGGTCGAAACCAACCTCCATCGGTTTCAGATTCCAAAAATGCAGACATTTGAACAACCAAATATGTACAGTTGTGTAACATAGGCATAAATGTAATGATTTTGAAGACTCATTTCAATTAAGATTAAACTGGAACTGAGCCGAGAATATTTAAAATTTAGTAAGAAATTTCCTCAGAAGCATTGAATTTCATAATAAAAAGATGAAAAAGAGAGCTTTTAATTGAGTGAACTAGGTAAGTTATTTCTTTTCGCTCAAGAAGGGGTATAAGAATAAAGACATATTCACCTTTATTAGAAAGAACTCGTGTGATAGCTGCTGTTAAAGTCGTTTTTCCATGGTCTATGTGACCGATAGTGCCAACATTAAAATTTGGCTTTGTTAATGTTACAACACCTTTTGACGTCGCTAAATACCTTAATGAAAGGGTTACGAAGTTTAAGGTCACTGATGGTGTTGTTGTTCGTAGTAAACAATTCTGCATCAAATACCTTATAATCATGTTTATATCCTAAAACCCATTGAATCAAAGCCAATAAAAATAATATCCTTTCTTCAAGCATCAGACACTTGGAAAAAAAGAATGTAATAATATCGATAATAAACGCACTAATTTACCAAAAAAATCGAAAAAAAGGCGCTCTAAAAAGAAGGCAAAATATGGAAAAGAATTATTCACCACACAGAACATTAAATTATTTTAACAAATATTTAGCTTTAAGTTTTAATGTATCATATTTGATCAAAATAAACTTATTTTTTCACTTCTTCATTCAAATGCACAATGAGTTTTGTTCGAACAAAAACTAGCTATAATAGTTTAAAAAAATTAATTTTTCGCGAAATCTATTCATCCAGATGAAATTTTATAGCCGAATTTAAACTAAAAAAAAAAGTGCCCTAAGCCTACATTACAACTTTAAAAGATTACTGCAGATCACTTAGAACTAAATTCCAAAAAAATTTTAAGATTAGCTAAAGAAAAAGATATACTGAAATTAATTTCCAAATAATACCTAAAATCAGAATGCTTAATGTATATTTACAGTTTGAAAAT